TAGAAGAAGTCTGCCAAGACAACTGTACAAGGCTGAACAAAGCAACTAGATAAATACCTTATTCCCAAGGTAACGATTCCGCCTGCACTGATCTGTCTCGTATCTCGCAAAGAGTAATGGGATAGATCAAAAGGCTGTTATAACGTTCTAAAATAATACTTAAGTGAAGTACATTTCTTCGTCAAAACAGGCTGGATGAATTTAAGCTAAATCAATAAATCCATTATTGATTTAGACGTTTTTTTTTTTGCTGAGGATATCTTAGTTGCTTACTTTAACATCTAGCTAAGGTGTTTTGTGTTTGTACAAGTAGTATTTCTAACTTAAATTTGTAATTAGTTTTGTAGCTCTAAAAGTCACTTTGTGCACGGCACAGACGAACGAAGGGGTCAGGGTTCAGGTCTGGAAGCTTTCCACTTTACCCAGAGGGCAGTTTCAGTACTGCAGTTTAACTGACATCTGGCCCACAAAGACAATTCCTGTAGATGGTCCCTTAGAGAAATCAGATTTAAAATTCCTAATAAGATACTTTAGCCATCACCTTTGTGCACAAAATATCAATTGAGGCCATTTTTTTTTCTCCATCACTCACAGCCGAAGACATTAACATTTTATATTCAAGGTGTCTGCCATGTTTTTGGATGACGTGATGACGTCATCACTGCTCGCGGTGCTCCCTGTGCGCATTGAGTGCTAGTGTGCATGTGAGTTGGGCCCAGTAAAAAGGATGCAACCCGGAGATATATAGGGCGGCAGGTAGCCTAGCGGTTAAGAGCATTGGGCCAGTAACTGAAAGGTCGCTGGTTCGAATCCCTGCGCCAACTATGTGAAGAATCTGCCCTTGAGCAAGGCACTTAACCCTAATTGCTCCTGTAAGTCGTTTTGGATAAGAGCGTCTGCTAAATTTGTAATGTATTTTTTTATATAGACCGTCCACGAATTGGCGTTTGCTAACGTGAGTAGGTTACGTTGAAAACAACAGTCTTCCATCTTGGACGCTGTCTCCAGTTAATTTATAGGCCGAGGCTACGAATACAGAGTTTTCACCCCCGCCTCTTTGGAAACATCTTTCTCAAAACTAAGGATCCAAATCATGTTTTGCTCATGTGTTATTTTACACAAACATTCAAGTTTCTCTTTAATCTTTGCTTTTACTCCCCTTCTTCTGAACCCTCAACCAATTTAATGGACATGATGATGTAGCCTATGTCTCTGCCTCATATTTCTGAACAGCTGAAATATAAACTTGGTGGTGCGATTTGAAAGAATATTCCCAAAATATATATGTGTGAAGGCTATCTGTCTGCTGTTAGCGTTTTGTGTGATGATGTCATCTTTATAGTTATGCTGCCATATAGCCAGAGTTGCTGAACACTAAATGCTTCCTCCATAAGCTAGCTAGCAACATTATGTTATCGCAATTAATGTGTTTATTATTATTAGTATTATTATCTATGAATGAAATGGCCGTTTTTAGAAGAAGTCTGCCAAGAAACTGTACAAGTCTGAAGAAGCAACTACCTACATAAATGTTTTTAATGTCTTTATTTGAAGGTCTTGGCTCCAATTCTTCTGAATAAGTGTAACACTATCTGCTTCTTGTAATGTGACAAACATTGTTTAATAACTCATTAATGAAATCTGAACAGACCCATGTTATGTTTTATTTACTCTTGTAGTTTACGTTGTTTTAGCAGATGCTCGTATCCACAGAAACATACAGTAGTAGTAGTAGTAGTGAGTGTATACATTTTCATACTGGTTCCTTTTGGGAATCGAAACCCACAACCCCTGGCGTCGCAAGCGCCGTGCTCTACCAACTGAGCTACACGGGACTACCGGGAGTCGGCTTTTATTTCTACATGCACAATTCATAATGTAGATTTATAGTGTAGCCTGTAGTTTTTATCTTACACTGTTCATAGTGTACATACTGTATGAGGATTGTGGACATTCTGCATGTATATATCTTGTCCGTTTATTCTGTTTGTTGTCTATTTTTAGCCTGTATTCTGTTTGTGTCAACACCATTTCACAGAGTCAAATTCCTGGACATGCACATGTGTTTGACGAATAAAGGTGATTCTCTGTTCCATCTGTTGATTGGAGGGGGAAGTTATAGATGTTGACATGATGTCTCATACAGTCGTGAATCTAAAGTTTCATTTTGATATGTTTTTTTTTTTTCATGTTTAAAAATAAACATGTGTTTTTCAAATAATAAGTAATGTTTGTACCTGCTTGGCCCCAGTGGTGAGACTGGTTTGGATACAGAAATAGTTGAGCTCAGAATTTTTTTTGGTCTTGTATCTTTCTTTATCCAGGTTTTCCCAACCAAACTCAGTCCTCGGGACCCCATGGGGTGCCACGTTTTGTTTTATGCTCTAGCACTACACAGCTGATTCAAATAATCAACTAATTGTCAAGCTTTGACTATTTGAATCAGCTGTGTAGTGTTAGGGCAAAAACCAAAACGTGCACCCCTTGGGGTCCTGAGGACCGAGTTTGGAAACGCTGGCTTAATCCCGTGGAAGCTAAAGCGGTTTGAAGTGGATAGAAAATGGTGTGTATTCATTAGTTGCACACCATAGCAAACAGTTTTGCAACAGAAAATGTTATGCAATGAAAATGAGTTTCTATTGGACAAATTCCTATTGAATAAACCCATGGACTCATTTATAGATATTTTCATAAGACTACTTTGAAGTTTGCATTCACCACCCCATTTGGTAAATTGTTCATAAACATAAAACTAGTGAAAATCACCAGTAAACTCACTGAACACTCCTCTTTCGCTCTATGCTGTGTCATTACATAGGCAAGTGGGTAATACATATACATGTATTCATTTGTACTGAGTAATTGTTGTTATTATTTACCTATGATGTAATATAATGTATCTATGTCCTCAATGAGGATAGTTGTATTGCCGTTCTCGTCTCTCTCTGACCTCACCCTACTGCTCTCCTCTCGTGTCCTTTCTGCGAGCCCCGCCCCTTTGTTTCTTCTCGCCTGGAACGTGAACAGGCCGCTTGCGTTTGAAACGGTAGCTAGAAGACTACTGAATACTTCGGAAGGATTGTGTTACAATCGAGCCGGTGAGTAAAGCATTAGGTTTCTACTGACGGTCAGAAGGGGTCGTCCAAAGAGATGCAATTAGTTAGTAGTTAGGTTCGCATAACCGCTAACTTAGCTGGCTAGCTGCTCTCCAGACTAGCTGCGTTTTAGCTTGGTAGCTAGCTAACTAATTGCTCCTGTAAACTATTTTTAAGCTGTAGACGAACTGAGTCGATATTCGAATAAAATGATTGTTTTCTGACTGGTAGCTACAGGGAGCTCGATTGTAGCTATATGAAATCAACGAGTTACTGTTGTATATTCTGTCTGTGTTAGCTAACGTTAGCTTGTTAGCTTCTTCTTCTAAAGGATTTGGTTGGCGGATCGCATCCAACTTTTAGGTACTGTGTGTGAGGCCATTCACGGCCTACCTACATTAAGTTCTTGATACGGTGATACAAAATTAGGGAAAAGGAAAATTGCCCTGCCAACTATTAGCCCTCTATAAAAATAAAAATAAAAACATTCCACTATTCTACTCCAGAACACTACCACTCAACACCCCCCTGCAACTGTTTTGCAGTAAATCCTCGCAATCCCAAGTACTTCTCAGCAACTGTCACCACAACCTCTCTTTTCTGTGACTTCTGATCCATTTCTGTGGTACAATTGACAACCATGGCTATGAATACTAAACAGCCCACCTTACTGAAGCACATTCTTTCCATCACTCTGTCTTGGTCTCTGCCTACTCACAGGAATCCTCTCAGTATCCCTCAGCCTGTAACCATCTTCCTCCACCACTCTCTTCACTGCCACAGCATACGACACCTTCCGTACTTCATAATACTGTATGTACCCGTTGATTCTTGAAGTATATAACTTATAAATGCCTCATGAGCTTAGTTCAACTAGGGCCCTGTGTTTTGGTTAATCATGTCACATGACCTGGACTTTAACCTTCAATGAAAGGTTTTTCTATCAAACTGGCCCCTTAAATGTCAGATGGCCCAGCACCATACTGAGACAACTGCTTTCATTTTTGGTGTAGTTCTCATGTCTGGAAAAGGCTTAAAATAAAGGTTCAAGTCCAGGTCATGTGACATGATCAACCAAAACACAGGGCCCTATGCGGAATATAAGCTTGTTTCACTCCAATGTTTGTAAAGTAAATGTAAACAAACACTGTATAGCCTCAAAACGTAGTTACAACTATTAATTTAGATTTCATGGATGGTCAGTCCTAGCTCTGTCTATAAATATGAGTGGTTAGATTTCTCCTGCCCCATCCCTCCGCTTTTTTACCGAAACAGGGTCGGGGATAACGCTTTGTTTATTGTTTTAACTGCTGATTGGTGTTTTTAAGTAAAAAAATAAAAGATTGACAATCAAATCTAGAAAATGCTTTGATTTGACAGACTCTGCAAAATAGAATGACACTATATACATGTAGATATAAGTAAAAACAGTTATTTTTTTCTATTACACCACGTCCTCCTACTTCCACAGGTGACCTCACAAGGAGTTCCACTGCTCTGGTGACAGGTGACCTCACAAGGAGTTCCACTGCTCTGGTGACAGGTGACCTCACAAGGAGTTCCACTGCTCTGGTGACAGGTGACCTCACAAGGAGTTCCACTGCTCTGGTGACAGGTGACCTCACAAGGAGTTCCACTGCTCTGGTGACAGGTGACCTCACAAGGAGTTCCACTGCTCTGGTGACAGGTGACCTCACAAGGAGTTCCACTGCTCTGGTGACAGGTGACCTCACAAGGAGTTCCACTGCTCTGGTGACAGGAGGAAGATCTGGTGTTATGAGAACTCCAGATAGGAAAGAAACAGGACACATGAGAAAGACACCTCACTCTTTGTGACAGCTCCATTCAATAACCAGTTGTTATTGCCATTTTTACCAAGAAACATTCAGACTCTGCTGGGACAAAATGAATCGAGAGAAGGGAGTGTTGATGGATGAAATTGAGAAGAGTTTATGGAATTTAACTGAGGACAATCTATGTTACCTATGTGAACATCGTGGACATGATGCATCCAAAGTTAAAGGAATGGATCACCGCTCATTGCGGCGTAAAATCATGGAGGAAATGTGGGACAATACGGATTCAATGAAATCGGAGGAGCAGGGAATGTCTTGGTTAGTCCAACTGAAAGAGGACATCAGGAAGATACAGGAGGATGCTAGGGCAGCACCCTGGAGTCACCGCCAGGCTGATCATGCTGTGGACTGTGATGAAGGAGGGAGCAGAGAGGGAGGGGCTGGGTTATCTAGCAACGGGTTGGAGGCGGAGTCCACGAGTCCCAGACAATCCAACTACGATGACGCTGCAGACTGCGACGTGGAGGACACGGATTGGTTGCCTAGCAACAGACTGGAGACGGAGTTATCTCCAGAAAAGCACACACCAGAGCAGAGAGTGAGAGGCGTGAGTATTTATTTTCCGTGTCAGAAAGTGAATATTTTTTCCCAGTCTTAAAGTGTGTTTCTCAACAGTCTTTCTTTGATTCCTCAACTTCCTTCTATAGAAGGCATTGGAGGATAATATTTTACATTTTAGTCATTTAGCAGACGCTCTTATCCAGAGCGACTTACAGTTAGTGAGTGCATACATTTTCATACTGGCCCCCCGTGGAAATATCTGATGTTCCTCCTCATTGGAGGATAATATCTGATGTTCCTCCTCATGGGAGGATAATATCTGATGTTCCTCCTCATTGGAGGATAATATCTGATGTTCCTCCTCATTGGAGGATAATATCTGATGTTCCTCCTCATTGGAGGATAATATCTGATGTTCCTCCTCATTGGAGGATAATATCTGATGTTCCTCCTCTTGACCTTTCTCCATTTTGAGAAGGAGGTTAAGTCATTGTGGATGAGAGGAATTTAAATACTTCAAAGTTCATTGACAGGTAGAAGAGCATGTCCCACCCTGATTAATTCTGTCTCTATTTCTGTGATTTACAGGACACGTCTCTCCCGAAGACCCCGTGTCGTGCCTCTCCTGGTAGCACCTTACTGCGAGGTCTGAAGAGGGTGTCTGTGCAGCTGATGGACTGCAGGAAAACACTGGGGCAGAAAACCTGCAAGAAAACCCACTCCTGTGCTCAGTGTGGGAAGAGTTTTGCCACAAAAGACATTCTGGAGCGACATCTGCTAACTCACACTGGAGAGAAACCGTACATTTGCCCTCGTTGTGGGAAGAGTTTCAATGATCCAGGAAACTTAAAGAAACACATCTTTAGAACTCACTCAGGAGAACATTCTGAAGAGGAACCTTCTGAGAACAATGTTGGTTCCTCAGAACATGATGGGACCGTGAAGAAACCAGTCCTTAATCCATGTTCTCACTGTGGGAAGAAGTTGTCAACCAAAATAAGACTAAAGATTCACCTGAAGACCCACAATGTAGAGAAACCTCACGTCTGCCCCGACTGCGGGAAGAGCTTCGCTTTCCGTCCCTCCTTGACCAAACATAAACATTTTAGTCATTCAGAGCACGGAGTGAAACGTCATGAATGTGCATTCTGTGGGAAAGTTTTTAATCAACCAGGAGCCTTGAGGTCCCATCAAAGAACCCACACTGGAGAGAAACCCCACCTCTGCTCCGACTGTGGGAAGAGTTACTGTTTTCATTCGTCTCTGAGAAGACATCAGGTACTCCACGCAGGAGGCAGTGCGAAGCCCCATGTGTGCTCTGTCTGTGGGAAAGGCTTCAGAGATTCTGGATACTTAAAAAAACACCAATCTGTCCATTCGAGAGAGAAACCTCACCTCTGCTCCAACTGCGGAAAGACTTTCACGTCCTTACTTACCTTAACAAATCATTCCAAATCACATCGTCTAGATGGAGACCAATTTCCAATGCCCTGAATGTAAGCGCCATTTCCCAACCAAGGAAAGGCTGACCAGCCACCAGAGAACGCATACTGGTGAAAAACCTTTCTGCTGCTCCCAATGCCACAAACGCTTCTCTCATTCAAATAGTTATCAAAGGCACCTTCGTATGCACTCCGGTGAGAAACCCTTTGTGTGTCCTCTCTGCGAGAAGCGATTTAACGACTCTTCGAACCTTAGAACACATGTTAGAAGACATAAAGGAGAGAAGATAGGCAAGACACAGGTCTCTGAGCCATGCCCTCACTGTGGGAAGAGGCTGGCTTCTAAGGCAGGGTTAGAGACTCACCTGCGGACCCACACTGGAGAGAAACCTCACCTCTGCGCCAACTGCGGCAAGAGCTTCGGCTTCCACTCAGCTTTGAGAAGACATCAGAAAACGCAGCACGGAGAGCAAGTAGAGAAGCCGCATGTCTGTTCTGTCTGTGGGAAAGGCTTCATGGAGTCTGGAGCGCTGAAGAAACATGTGGTGACCCACGAGGAGAAACAGCACCTTTGCTCCGATTGCGGGAAGAGTTTCAGATTGCTTCAGGCCTTGTTGAATCATCAGAAAACCAAGCATCAGAAAATAAACGAGCAAGTAAGAGAGAATAATCAGTACCTCTGCCTTACTTGCGGCCAGGAATTCAGTTCAAAGCATAGATTGGTAATCCACGAGAGAAAGCACACAGGAGAGAAACCTTACCAATGCGCCCAGTGCAGCAGGTGCTTCGCTGATAAGACTAACATGAGGCGTCACCAGACGGTGCACACAGGAGAGAAACCTTTCCAATGCGCCGTCTGCGACATGAAGTTCTCTCAAGTCGCCTCTTTAATACGGCACCACTTAATACACTCGGGTCAGAAACCGCACCACTGCACTTACTGCGACAAGAGTTTCTCTCAGTCGAACACGCTGAAAACACACATACTAACCCACACTGGAGAGAAACCGTACCAGTGCCCCGACTGCGGGAAGCGTTTCACCGAAAAGAAAGCCATAAAGAAACACCAGCGCGACACACATGGGTCAGGGGAACACAGCGCACACCGCTTTCTCATTGAGACTGAGTCAAGACCAGAGCCCTCAAGCAAAGCCGTAGCAATGCCCTGACTGTAGAAAATGTTTCTCAGAGAAAAGAGCTCTTGTGGAACACCAGAAGACACACCGGAGAGACGGCGCGCCCCTATTGTTTCATTTTGATCTGAAGGTTTGTAAATGTTTCAAAATAAACATGTGCTTTTTTAAAATCGTGTTCTTTCTCCGCTTGGCCCCAGTGGTGAGACTGGTTTGGATACAGAGTCATGAATTTGAGCTCAGAACATTTTCTGGTTTTGAATGTGATGTTTATTTTTGTATATTTAGCGGTATGGATTGATCTTCCGGAAGCTAAAGTGGTTTCAAGTGGATAGAAACATGGATTTATTTATAGATATTTCCATAAGACTATTGCATTCATCTGCCGGTTTTGGTAAATTGCGCAATCATAAACATAAACAAACGAGTGAAATCACCAGCAAACTCACTGACCACACCTCTTTCTCTCTGAGCTGTATCGTCATTACATGGGCAATTACCCAAAGTGGGCAATGCAGATAATTTCATTCATTTGTACGTGTATTGACTCAACAATCATCCTATTGAGTAATGTTTATTTTTATTTAGCTATGATGCAATATAGAGTGTATCCATGTCATCAATGAGGATCGTTTTATTAGTGTTCTCATCTCTCTCTAACTAACCTCTTTTAAATGTGATAGGAAAGCATCCAATAGGAAGGTGTGATTACTGCCAGGAAACAGACAGTGGACCATGTACTGATGCAGCGTGGTCAGTATGAGAAGGAAGGAGAGAGACCGATACAGTACTGAGTAGAACATCATTAGATACAGTCCCCAATCTTTTGATATAAATATTTTGTACTTCCAAAGATGGTGGATAAATAAGATAGTTTATTCAGGCCGTTTACCGTTAAAAAAAATACTCAAGGTTCCTGTCAGTGTAAGTGGGCGTTCCCTCTCTCGCGTGAGCATGATTTCCCTGGTGAGCTCATGGCTATTGGCTGGCTCTGGTCTACTTATTGTCCCCGCCCAGAATAAATGAGGCAGTTAAATGTCTCACTCTGGGGCACCCCCTATTTTTTTAAAATTAAAGAATGTTATCTGGAAGATTCGTTTGAGGTCTCAAAGAAGGTGAAACATGTACATCAGAGATGGGCAACTTGGATGGGGGTGGGGGCCAAAAAAAATCGGAACATCATGAGCCTCAACGGGCTGCCATACACCCCCCCACCTTGCGAACAAAACATTTTAGCGGGCCCCCCTTGAGAGCGGAGAGAAAATGTTGCAGTTTTTAAAGTAAGTTTGCTGCAACTCTACACATTTTGCCATGGGACGGAGAGAAGATTTTGCAATTTTCTAACTGATTTCATGGAATTCTACACGTTTTGACATGGGACAGAGAAAACAATTTGCAGTTTTACAGCAAATTTCCTTCTACACATTCTACCATAGGGTGGAGAGAAATGTTTGCCGTTTATAATATCTGAGTAAGAGTGACTTACAAAATCAATGGGGGCCCACCGGTCGGTAATTCGACCATGATTACGAGAAGTTTAGATGGCTGGCTAGACTAATTTACCGATCTAAAAAATGTTAGCTGACCATGGGCTAATTGAGGGACTGACATAACAAGAGAAAAACCGCTGAGGCACAACCAAATTTCGAAATTTCACCTTTATGTATTCTACTATTCTAACTCTCAACGGTAAATTGATACGCCCCCCCATAAAAAAAAAAAAAAAAGTAAATTGGAAATTGATGGGCCGCCAGTTGCCCATCCCAGTTGCCCAGAAGCAACCTGGACTCAGGGGTAGATGTAACATAGCAAACGGAAACACTCCAATTAGTATGATCTGTTACGTTTCATATGGGTCCATATTAATTTGTGGATGTCCAACACTCATTTCGTATGATATGCTACAAATTACAATTTGTATATGTTATGAATGGAAATTCGTACAATATGTTATGAATGGCAATTCGCACTATGTTACACATTAGCAAAACGTTTGATATGTTTACGAATTCCAATTTGTTGTGGACAACGTTAGCTAGGTGGCTAATGCTAACGTTAGCTAGGTGGCTAACTTTAGCTAGACTAGGGGTTAGGGTTCAGGTTAGGTGTTAGGTTAAGGTTCAGGTTAGGTGTTAGGCTAAAGGGTTAGGGTTAGGTTAAAGGGTTAGGAGTTAGGTTAAAGGGTTATGGTTAGCTAACATGCAAAGTAGTTGCAAAGTAGCTAAAAAGTAGTAAGTAGGGTGAAGTTGCTAATTAGCTAAAATGCTAAAGTTGTTAGATGTTTGTACGTTTTTGCCTTAAGTAACCTTCTGACGTAACATATCATACTAATTTGAGTTTCCCGGATTTGAATTTACTATGTTACGTCTAGTCTATGAGATCAGGCTGCCAGAAGTGGTCTGGTTCTGATTCATTGTATTTCTGAAGAACAGAAGAAAATTGCACAAGGAATCGCACATTTCAAAGTAATGTGCTTTGAACTTCGGAGTAGGGCCCCTGTTACAAGGAGTCATCTGGGGTGTCTATAGTAGTTGAGGCCGAATACCTCAAGTCATCTCCGGGGTGTCTGTGGCAGTTGAGGCTGAATACCTCATGTCATCTCCGGGGTGTCTGTGGCAGTTGAGGCCGAATACCTCAAGTCATCTCCGGGGTGTCTGTGGCAGTTGAGGCTGAATACCTCAAGTCATCTCTGGGGTGTCTGTGGCAGTTGAGGCCGAATACCTCAAGAAAATAATCCAAGGTGTGGTTGGTGCCCGTTGCCTGAGCCAAATGGTGAACGGAGAAGAATAAAACAAAAGTATATGGTTCTATTGTTTTTGGATAAAGAGCACCTCCCTACACATGTGAAGCTAGGCTATGTAAGGTATGCATTAAGAACATTTGGCCCCAAACCACTACAGTGCAAGAACTGCAAAGGTTTTGGCCATGTTGCAATTGTTTGCAGAAGGATGGAGTACACTGAAGATCGGCGTATAGGGTGTTGCAACTGTGGTGGGGATCATGATCCTGAATTCATGGAGTGCCCTGTAAGGGTGAAGGAGCTGGAAGTGGCAAAAGTCAGGGCGATACATCGGATATCTTATGCGGAGGCAATTAAACGAGTTGAGAGAAGTGACAATGTAGTAGAAGATATGGTAGTGGAGGCACCACAGCCCATTGAGAATGATGTAGTAGAATATATTGTTGTGCTCACCACAGCCCATTGAGAATGATGTAGTAGAATATATTGTTGTGCTCACCACAGCCCATTGAGAATGATGTAGTAGAAGATATGGTCGTGGAGGACCCACAGCCCATTGAGAATGATGTAGTAGAAGATATGGTCGTGGAGGACCCACAGCCCATTGAGAATGATGTAGTAGAAGATATGGTCGTGGAGGACCCACAGCCCATTGAGAATGATGTAGTAGAAGATATGGTCGTGGAGGACCCACAGCCCATTGAGAATGATGTAGTAGAAGATATTGTTGTGCTCACCACAGCCCATTGAGAATGATGTAGTAGAATATATTGTTGTGCTCACCACAGCCCATTGAGAATGATGTAGTAGAAGATATTGTTGTGCTCACCACAGCCCATTGAGAATGATGTAGTAGAAGATATGGTCGTGGAGGACCCACAGCCCATTGAGAATGATGTAGTAGAAGATATGGTCGTGGAGGACCCACAGCCCATTGAGAATGTTTGTTGTCAGTCGAGAGAACCGGAGACGATGTGTGTGTGAAAAATATGGATTTTGTGCGAAACTGGACATATTATGGCTGCGGGCGAAAGGTTGCTGGGTACATAGCTGAAGACCTAAAAATGGTTTTGGCAAGTACGGAAGATATCCCACCTTCCCAGGCTCTTGAGCCTGACGTAGGGATTTGGCGTTTTTAACAGAATAAGTAGGACGTTTTTGTTCCGTTTTTCTGTTGCTGTTTGTAGTCTGTATGGATTTTTTTCCTCCAACCCCCACAATGCTCCTGTTTTGTGGGATCTTTTTGTTTTCATCCCACACAGTAGGTGGTGGCGTGCACCTCTAACGTTTGTTTACGGACTGCCATAATACCATAGAAGAAGAAAAGCTAGCTAGAAGACTACGGGGTCACACTGCCTGCCCTTCAGGACATCTACAGCCCACGGTGTCACAGGAAGGTCAAGAAGTCTCACAGTTGCTGCCGCGGGGATGGCGACTATGGGAGGAATTCATGGACCACAAAGGAGATAACTATGCAAACGAGGGGAATTGAGGTTGCGTTAGGGCTAGGTGGCTCCGTACACAAATACAAGATTTTTCACATGGGGTAAAGCTACTAGGTCTTGATAAACAAAATTCTTGATGAACTACAAATTCGCAACCTCATAAGTGAAGATAATTTGAGTTTTACTGGCATTGACCAACAAATTAGATCTGCCTAAATGTCCAAGTAAAATTGTTCCAGCGTCTCATAACATGATTATCCTTAATATCAAAAAAACACTTTAATAGATCAATTTGTTCCACACCACTATTGAGCCCCCCTTACCCTCCCCTGCTGTACCGCCCTCTTACCCTCCCATGCTGTACCGGCCCTCTTAACCTCCCCCCCATGCGTCCCCCCCCCCCCTTTAAAAACCTCTCCCTCTTTACTCCCCCCAAAACCTCTCCCCTTTCTGTACCGCCCTTTAAACCCTTTCCCCCCTGCTGTACCCCCCCCCTTAAACCTTCCCCATGCTGTACCGCCCTTTTAACCCCCCCAGCTGTATCCCCCTTAAACCTCTCCCCTGCTGAAATCCCCCCTTTAAACCTTCCCCTCTTTACCCCCTTTTAATTCCCCATCTTACTGCCCTTTTAACCCTCTCCCCATGCTGTACTGCCCTCTTAACCTCCCCCCATCCCTGTATGCCCTTTAACCCCCCCCATGCGTCTGCCCCTCTTAACCTCTCCCTGCTGTAGCCCTTTAACCTCCCCCCATGTTTAAATCCCCTTTTAACCTCTCCCCATGCTGTACTGCCCTCTTAACCTCTCCCCAGTTACGCCCTCAAAACCTCTCCCCATGCTGTACCGCCCTCTTAACCCTCCCCATGCTGTACGCCCCTTTTAAACCCTCTCCCCATCTGTACCCCCCCTCTTAACCTCCCCCCATGCTTTTTATGCCCTTTTAACCCC